AACCCTATAAAGCCTTGTACAATAAGGCAGGTGCCTTCCTTCTTGGTTACAACAAAAATCTGAGCGCACAACATAGATTGGAAGATAAGACTGAGAATGGAAATGTGTTCCAGGGATCCATAGTATATTCATAGTTAAAGTCTTAGGCTCGGGAAAGAGAATCCCCTGATGCAACTCCTGGTTTTGTCACTGGCAGATGTGTACCTTTAAGCAAGGTAATTAGCCTGTTTGTTGCCTAAATTTTTTCATAAAATGGGGATGATGATATTAGCACTTTATGAGAATTAAATAATATATGTAATGTGCTTAGAATTGTGCCTGACACTTAGCTGGAGGCATCCAGAGGGTCACAGAGTTACAGCACACAGGCTTCAAGAAGTGTTAGCTATTATTGGTTGCTGAAATTTGTAGCTGCTACTGCTGCTGCATGCCTAACTATAGTGTCTTCTGAACTGCTTGAAGTCTGGTTATTTACTGGGTTCTAGATTGATCTGAAAGAATTCTGTGTTCAGATTACATCAGCAGCAATATGGATGTTTCCTTTCTTAAGATTCTGGAAGGTTTGTCTATGTGCCCAAAGAGTTTGGTTTGGAAACCAGTTAATCATTTAATTGTGGACACTGATGATTCATAGTGTATTTATGGATTTTTTTTTTGACAGATAAGGACTCCCAATTCCAGATAATTAAACAAGCTAGAACCACAGTTGGAAAAGATGGTGATTATAACAATCAAAGTAAGTAACAACATAATTTGAGCTAATTAATGAATCAGATTAATTTTTTTCTCACAAGAAAAACCTCGTGAATACAGTTACATGGGAAAGGTTAAGTTTTACATTTAACATTGGGCTAATTTGCTTTGTTTTAACTTAATTTGTTATATATTGCCCCTACTCAAATAGACCGGAGTCTCACTAGGACATTATCTTAGCTAGGGGTTCATTCTTTGGAATTACCTGGTGATTTTATAGATGAAATTGCCTTGTGGATAATTTTTTAAAAATGATTATTTAGGCCGGGCGCAGTGGCTCAC